CTCTCAAACTCCAGTAGCCATTTTTGAAGAACAGAATGCAGCTGAAGAAAGAGACTCCCTCTCTAGGGATATATCAAATTTTGCGCTTGATGAAGCAGAAGGAGAGTCTGAAAGAACACTGAAGGTTACTGATGAAGAAGATGTACAAGAAGATGCTGAATCTCTTCCTATGCAACTCTTCCAAAGAACACCATCCTCTCATCAGGTAACCAATTTTCATTTCCATAGCTCTTCCACCCCTACCCTTCCGGATATTGTACCGGAAATCTGGACAAAGAAGGTCCAAGGGCTGATTGAATCAGCCCTAGCATCTCAACATGCCTCCTTTAGGCAAGAGATAGAGCAAATGGAGGCCAAGTACACCAAGCTTATAGAGAAATCTGAAGAGAAGCACAACACAGACCTCAAGGAAATAAGCATATCAGTAGACAAGACTCTGGAGATAATCTCTCTATTGAGTAATACTGTGAGCAACACGATGGAAATATATGCCTCTGACAGTCAACTTCAACTCAAAGAGATCAACAAAGTCAAAGAGCAAATAGCGAGTGTCACAGTTAGTCTACAAAAACAGATGTCCCTTCTCCAAATGGACATCAGATTAGCCCTAGCAGTAGCTTCTGCAAATCAGGTAGTGACCAAAGACTACTTGAAGGTGATCATTGACAATAAAAAGGAAGCATACAAGCTGTTCAGACTTATTGGCGCAAATTCTGGGAACCGCAAGATGGAAGTAATTCTCCAACAACACAGCCCATCTCCAATACCACAGCTCCCTATTGCAGTCAAAGAAGGAGAAGTATCTTATATTCCTTCTCATCTGAACATGACAAATCTAATCCTTGAAGCACAGCAAAGAAATCCGGAAAACTCAGCACAGCATCTATCCAGCTCAGGACTGGATGGAATAGAATTTATAGGTACAGTTGTTGACCACTTCTCAAATGATGCTCAATCAGAAGAGAGATGTGAAAATTTAAGGCGCATCAAAGAACTGTGTGGGAACATGCAGGGCCTCAGTGAGGTTGCTGGATCTTCAAAACGCAAGAGGAATTGAAGGTTCTTTTCAACAAATCAGGGGGAAAGTATGTGAAAACACTAATTTGTTTTGATGAAAACACCTTCTTGTTTAAACATTGCTTGATTGGTTTAAACATTGCAACATTGGTTCAACAAATTGTGCTTATTATGCTTGATTATGCTTATCTCAAGTATGATTTTGAGAAGTTTTTTTTCTGAAGCGCATACATTCAGGGGGAACTTAACTAGTTTTTGGCTAACAATTGTTTTTGGCAATGAATTATTGATGAGCTCTAAGCAAGGAAGACGGATATCTCAGTTTTGGTACTAATATTGGAAATCTCCGATTCAGGTACTTTACAAAATCTGCCTTCTTAAACTAAGCTTTAGTCCTTAATTCATTTGCAACTAGCTCTAAAAGTACTGGTCCTTAGGATTTTTATAATGTACAGGACTTTGGAAAAATAGTACCACTTTTCTTTTAAAATTAAAATTCATAATTGTTTTGGTACTACCTCGTCCTATTTTAGAAATTAGAACTATAGGGAATGAAAAATGATAGTTTTATTTTGGGCCTTGAGAACCCAATAGGAATAATTTCCCTTTAGTACATAGCCTTCTTTTCTTTTTGGGCCACTCTTTTGGGCTTAGCCAAACTTAAATAGTTACGTTTCTCAAACCAAACGAAACTGATTTTCTAATTGGAACAGTTTCAATTCATTGGTAATCGGTAAAAGATTCCTTCAACTTTTCAAAATTCAACTTCTTGGAAGTTGAAACTCTTTTACTCTCACCGTTCCTACTACTCACTTAATGGAACCCGTGAACTTTCTCCTCCCCTATTTAAATCAAGACATTCCAATCCATTTCCATCACAAACAACTCTCTCAAAATGAAAGTCTTCAAGTTCACTGTCTGAGAAAAACACCAAGAAAATATCCTCAATGGAGAAATTTTTCTTTCTCACCCTCATAGACGGCAATGGAGAAAAGCCTAGTGAGAAGAAAAGTAGTTTAAAGTATATGGTGCAATTCTCGGCAGTAGAGAAAGTATATGGTGTAATTCTCGTATTTTTCAGGATTATACCATACACTTTCTCTGGAACAACACTCTCTCTATTTTTCTTTTTATTTTTACTTTGATCTCTTTCCTCTCCCCTTTCCTTTATTTACTTTTTCTAAACTTTTTTTTTGGACAGTCTCTGCACCCTTCTCCCAAGCATTTTCCTCAAATCTTTTCTGTGCAGAACCTGTTCTCTTTCTCAAATATTAATTTTAATTTTTTTTTCCCTTCATCTTTAAAATTTTTTTTTTGAGCAGTCGCCACACTCTTCTTACAAGTTTTTTTTAAATTTTTTTTTTGTGCTGCCTCTGCTCCCTTCTCCCAAGCATTTTTCAAAATCACTTTTTAAATTTGTTCTATTCTAAAACCCTTTTTCAAAATTTCTTTTAAAAGTTTTTATTTTTGCCTTCATCTTTAAAAAACCTTATTTTATCTTTTTCACAATCAATTCTCTTTTCCAAAACCTTTCTTTCTTGTCTTTCTACATTTTCTTTTTCTTTCGTTTTTGTTCTTGTTTTTGCTTTTTGAGAGATGTGTTGCTTCCAAGATCTTGAATATCCAATTTGGATATTAAAGATCTATCAAACGCAACGCCAACCGCTCCGCCAAGCAGAATCTGCTGAAGCTGAAAACGGTCAATGGCGGAAGATATCACAAAATCTCAAGACAAGACTTGGTTTAGGAATTGTTGTAATTTGAATTGTATCTGTTTAAGAGTTTTTGTTAACAAGCTGTATGTTATGAGAAACTAAAAGAAAGTTATAAAATTAGTTCTCAGTACAGCGACCGGAACTCTTAAACACTTGTTTGTCATCATCAAAAAGGGGGAAATTGTTGGGAAAAATATTATAGATTTTGATGATGATGTATTTAGAATGTAATAGGGACTTTAGGTCTTCCCCATTATTCAATGTAATTTTTCTTTTTAGAAATATTGTCAAAACCGAGTTCTTGAGATTTCCAATA